TCGACGAGGAAGAAGACAGTGAAGATGATGGTGTTAGAAGAGAAAGAGAAGAACGATTGAAACAAAGGCTGGAAGAAATACACGTGCCCTTTTCTAAAGTTAAATATTTATTTTCTAAACGGAACAAAGATGATGTAATAAAATCAGCTCTAGCTATTTTAGACGTTACCAGTTTATCAAGTTGTCCAGCAATAGATGCGGATACTGTACAGAGAATTGATCAAATTTTATACAACAGGGAAGCAAGTGCAACACTTTTAACAGAGTTCAGTCGATGGCCTGAAATGGCGAATGTTGCATTAACTCTTGTTGAGAACAGAAATAAAGTGCCATATCTTGTAGATGTTGATAAGACAATTGACAATTGTTTGAACTAGCAGACATAAAGGGGGAAATAAAAAGAAACAATGTCCTGAAGGACTTGACATTAAGGACTTCTAAGCTCACGTGTCGTACTGTAAAACAAGTAAGTTAAACATTCACTTGATTCTATTTACTATTTTACTATTGACTGTTGATAATTGTTAGTTTAAAATGTGCTGTAAACATATTTCAGACCTTCACATTTCTTGTTTTTCTGGTGAAAATGTTTGACTCAGAAATCGACCAACAATGTTTAAGTGAAGAAGAATTAAAAACTGTGTTAAAGAACTGGAGCTCTGATTTATCCAGAACAAACGACGGTTTTTTATTGTTTGAAGTGTGTTTCTTAGCAGTTGTCTTTATGTGCTAAATTAGAATGAGTTACACTTTATTGATATTTAAATCTTAAATATTTTGATTCTCAATCTTGTCATATATCTTAGATCTAGGCCTAGTGATGTTTGTAGTCATATCAATGATAACCGACGTCCACCACGGTCAACATTTGTTGGTGTACCAGGACACGATACAGGAGCTGAAACATAGATTAGTGACGTCATTACATCTTGGTCAAGTTGCGTTTGAAGTCTACAGTGGGGAAAACAAAGGAATAATCGGGTAAATTAAAACAATAAATTAACATGAGCTTTACAAAACAAAGCACTACTTTAATAACCTTATTGGGACGGACTTGAGTCCACTTTACCATTGGATGTACTCATAAAATAAACATAACCAAACACAAATGCGTGTGCCTATGCTTATTATTTACTCGATGCAATATCTGCGAACATATTTTTATATGGTGTGAATCCGTGAGTACTTTGTGCGACGGCAAGGTCCTGGATGAAAGACAGATTCTAAAGACTTACCAGATGCATACCGTTTTTTACTTTCTCGATGCCTAGTTCGAAGTGTTTTTACTTAATTTAATTGGTAAAATAAAGCGTTTATTTTGAAGCATGCTTTACATTTGTAAGGTATTGCTCCATTAATTTAACGCCAGTCGTGCTCATATTTTAATATTCTAACATAACTTGTCAAAAACACAAAAACTCTACCCCTTTATCTGAATTTTCACATCTTTAACATATTTCTATTGACAGTATCTGCAATATTTTGTGCCACCTACAAAGACTCAGTCAACAAGAAACGTTTAGAGCAGAATTCCTTGAACATTGTTTGTTCCATCTACAATCTATTTTGTTACAATCTTCCTGGACAAGACAACAGGAGATAGAGCTATGTCTGCAAATATTTGCTACTGATGAAATTGATATATGTGGCTATATAGAGGTTAGAAAATAAATAAACTTAACATAAGGCATCAAAAGATAACGGATTTCGGTTTGTGAAACGAATCTGTTAACCGGTTATAATTTAATAAGGAAAAAATACTTGACAAAAAACGGCTAACATTAAAAACACATTTTTAAAGGAAAAATGTGTTTTCTTCTTATTATGATTCTGGCAAACAATTATAATATAAGAGATTTCATTAATTATATCTAAATTTATTTTGAGGATTTTCTAAAATCAATATTTAAAACAGCTATTCCAGGACGAACCTTCCCGTCTCTGTTCACTACATGCGTGTGTAGGGTTTTTAAATTATTCACAATTTACAACACATTCAAATAACGCAACACAACTTTTGGATCTCATCGCCAGTAGTTCACAAGGTAAAATTTTCATTTGTGTAAGATAAACATAGACGTACATGCGTCATGTCGCCATGATAAAATAGATTTAGTCCTAATGTATTATCGGTTTTTAGTGCTATTCAGTTTAGTCTATGGAAGTGGAGTTAAGTTAATTATACACAAAGTATGATGAACAACCGACTGTATAATTGTGAGGTAAAACTTTTTATAAATGTAGTTATTTTAGAGAGAAGTTTAGTCTTAACTCTAATCGTGACTTACTTGGCTTACAAAGTTTCATCCAGAATATTTTCTCCGGAAGTGCACTTCATATTTTCGGGGGGTGGGGGGGGGGGGGGGAGGGCGGACACTAGTAAAAGTATATGCGTACTATATAAATTCCATCTCGTTCCTGGGGGGGGGGGTAGATTTCTTCGGGGGATACCTGGAAGAAACTCTGTTGGCTTAGCCCCATTTACACATGGTGGAGCATTGTGTTAATAATACGTTAAATATTGACACAGTTTCATACATTTAATTTTATTGTTTAATACAAGATATGTTGACATTTTTTAGTATGTGAAATACATGTTTGACAGTTTAGACTACTTGATGACAGAATGTTTGGAACAAAAATTACTTGTCTTAATATAAAGGACAGTCAGCCAGAAACAAAAAAAAAAAGAAGAGAGGAATTATAAAGTCGGGAGTGAGGCGGGGTCGTTTAGTTTCTTTATACATTGTTGGCCTTATGATTCATGTCATGATCTAGAGAGGAGCGAGTATTAAATTAAACATCGATATTTCGGACATCATTATTGACTTCGTCATCTTAAATACTGCAGGATAAAACAATACTGGTCAAGATATTGATGTTGATTTAGTCTGATCTTCCCTAAAGCACAATACTTATATAGTATGCTAGATCTATATATTATACTTAAAAAGTAATAGCTTGAGGAAATGCAGAGATTTACTCACCTGGAATATGTCTTTGACGTACAAGTATTGACACATACATGCATATAATATGATAGTTATAACATGAACACTCTTTAACCCATTGTGAGAGTGCATGGACAAAACCATAGCGGTTTTTATTGTAAAAGGAAATTCAAATTTCTTTCATGAAACAAAACCGAAAAAATAAATAAATAAGAAAGCATACATTTAATAAAAAAAACATGTATCGAAGAAGCAAACTAAATTCACCCCTTCGACCTTAAAATCTGTTTATAACTATCAGTTATACAATATATATTTTATTGTGTTTACTTTATGTATCATCATATATAAAATTATATATTTTGACGCTTGTCAATTTTCGAGACTTTTAGGCTTGTTTTTAAACTGTAATACTTTAAACACAGGGGTCGGCAACCTTTTGAGACCGAAGAGCCAAAAGTTGTAATTTACAAAATTACTCAGTTTTTAAAGAGCCACAAACATTTTTATTTCAATATAGTGATCTTTAATTAGGATTTGATATATGTATATATATATATATATATATATATATATATATATATATATATATATATATATATATATATAATATATATATATATATATATATAAAATATATATATATATATATATATATATATATATATATATATATATATATATATATATATATATATATATATATATATGTATATATATATATAAATCAATGGTTGTGTGTTTGTGTGTGTGCTTGTGTCTGTTTTTCTTTTATGCAGTACTACACCTTTCATCCGATAGCTATGAAACTTTGGTAAGTTGTTGAGAATACTCCTGGAAAGATTTCTTCGAAAAACGTTTTTTTCAAATTCGCAGGAGTGGTGCCAGGGCAGCGCGCGATTCAATTCTTCTCTATATTATGTATGTAAAAATAAAAGTCGATTGCGGTTTAACACCGTTCATCCGGGCGTCATGAAACATTAAGGAGTTGATTGAAACACTCAAGGAGAGGTTTGTACAAAAGAAAATAATTTAAAATTTCTTATGAGCGGCGCCCGGGTTGTGCATTTTTTTAAATACACATTTAAGCGCCCAGAGTTCCAGAGCGACTATTATATTCAGCGGTATAACTGCAGCAGGCGCAACCACCGGCAGTACGTCGATTGCGCGCCCCGGTGCGTCCCGCGCTCACCTGCGAGCACCATGGCGCCTACGTTCGTTTTTAAAAATAGGCTATACACTTTAGACACGGTGGGCAACAATACGTTCATTTAAAAAAAACGCGATAGGCTATCGATAGAATGTGTTGCTAAAGTCGCTCACTAAATCGAATTAGGTGCGTCCTCCGGCGTTTCTGCATGGTGCGATTTGTCGCCCAGGGCTATTCCGTGAGCACTAAGCGCCTCCTTAGTTCTAAGGCGCACCCTACTATACGACATTCGATGATTAAACCGACCTAGGGGCCGTACGCGGCGCCCCTGCGGTAGTGTAATCGGGTTCACGAGAACGCCACTGTCCGTCCCCTACAACTAGATGTTGAGTGATTAACGGTGATATTACGGTAAGTGATTAATTTACACTCAAGGCTTTCATACGGCACGCCATGTTGATAGGCGGTAGTTTAGGTAAACCCGTGCCCCGATAAATACGATCCAAGCACATGCAGCGTTTACAATAAAATAACTCAGTTTTAGATAACAAGGAAGTACATTGAAATAGGGAGTAACTAAATATCCTAATAGAATAGCGAGTGTTTATTGTTTATATTTATTAGCATATCGTTCATTACCGAGTGCTGCAAACTAATACATTTATAAGTTAAACAAAAAATAATTAATTATTGTGCATCGAGCTGAAGAGCCGCATCTTGACATCAAAAGAGCCGCATGCGGCTCGCGAGCCGCAGGTTGCCGACCCCTGCTTTAAACAGGTTGCATTTTAAAATACATCTTCAGACGTTTTTTTACATCTTGTTATTTAGTCTGGAACATTCCATAATACTTTTGAAACGATTGATTAAATATAAATTGATTCTTACTTGCCTGTGTAATGTCTCCTACAGCTGAACTAGACCCACCAGTTGAACGTAAAAAAACACGAACAGAGAACTGGAAAGACGAAGAAAAAAATGAACTTCTCTCACTGATAGAGAGACACAAGAGAGAGATAGAATGTAAAGTACGAACCAGCGAATGTAAGAAAAAAGTAAAACAAGCCTGGGATGACGTCACACGAGAACATAGAGCAAAATACCCGTCACGTGACCTACAGAAAGTGAAAGAACAATATCAGAGGATGAAATCTTTGGCTAAACAAGACATGAAAAGGGCAAAGAGAGACCCTCATGGCAGTAGACTTTCTGGTTTTACTAGAAGAATATTTGATATTTGTCCTGAAGATTTTGTAGACTTTAAGGATCTTTTTGATTCTGAATTAAACACTGGGGATACAACAGAGCCAGACCAAGTCACAGATGTGGTTGATGGAACAAATAGCGGCAGTTTTCAGCCGTCTTCTAACCTTAATAGTGAAGGTAACATTTGTGTTGAGATAAAGCTTTAAACATTAGCTAATGTAACAATTAGAAATGATTTGTTAAATCTTTGACCTTAAAGGAGTTAATTATTTTTGTTGCTTTATTAATATAGAGCTAACAATTGATAAATGAATTAAACACTACTTTTATAATATGTGTATTTAGGTGTCAATGTAGATGCAAATGTAGCTGTAGAAGAAAGAGATGCCATAGAATAAGGTATATTTATTTCTCTATAGTATAGACCAGGGGTCTCCAAACTTTTCAGCCCGAGGGCCGCCTTAACTATCAAATATCAGTTCGCGGGCCAGAATAGAGTTTCTTCCATGCATCCTTTGGGGTGGCTGTGTCCACCACGCCCCCCCCCCCCAAGAAATCTAATTTATATAGAAATATAAACACATTTTAAATGCAACCCCCCCCCCTCCTTCCAGGAGAAAAAGTCTGAAAGAAACACTGTCCAGCCGACAACACACTCAAGGTCCAAGTCTGTTCTCCTTGGGCAAACACAAAAGCCCACCCGCCATTTTTTGAACTTGTCTCTAAGGAGGTAATTTGCTTCCAATTCAATGACCTCCATCTGCAGTTCATCTGGGCAACTGGTTACATTTGCTTCAAATGGGTTTTGAAGCAGTATCACTTCTTCTGCCTTTGAATCCTAGCCAGAAAACCGTTACTGAAACTGCAGCTGGAGGTCTTTGATGATCTTGCATGCAAATGATGTGGGGAACTCAGCTGTTGCTTCGGCCATGAAGACCTTGCACAGCTGAGAGTGCGTAATGTTGTTGCCCTGTATTTGTTCCAAAAACATGGAACAGCTGTAAAGTGACTCTATTTGAGTCACAATGTTTTCATCAATGTTTGCAACACGGAGGGCAAAGTTATTTATACCCAAAGCTAGATTTTCAAATTGTTTTGAATTTTCTGGGCAAAGTACCTCAGCCACTTCCAACAAACATTTTCCCCCGTGAACAACAAGATCTCCGCGGGCCGATGAAAGGACCTCGCGGGCCGCATCCGGCCCTCGGGCCGTATTTTGGAGACCCCTGAGTATAGACGGTTTAGAGATGCTTATAACATATATAATCGTTAAAAAGTAATTAAAGAAAATGTTTTCATTCCTTTTTTAGACACATATGCTTGTTTCAGCGTGTAATTGAAGAAATTGTGTTTAGTCCTCGCTATTCTCAACAGGTCACCAGGATTCGACGGAAATTTACATTGAACATAACATGGATGATTATGTAACCTCTTCAAACTCGCAAATTGAAGGTAAAACAATATCTGAAATCGATTAATATAATATTTTAAAATGATAAATATGTAGAGCTCAAGTCCAAAATAATTTTAATTTCTTATATTTATAAGTTAAATCGTATAGATCTAAAATATTTTTTGGATAACAATATAACTTGATTTATTAAAATGTTACAAATTTATACAGTATATAAAATATCATACCCTACACTGCATACATTATGCCCTTGCCAATATTCACATGCCCTATCCAACATTAACTTGCCCTAAATAAAATCCACATGCAATAGATTACATTCCTCTATGCCTTAGTAATCTTTTTAAGTCCCAGCAAATATCTTCTGTGCCCTAATCGACAGCCTCTTTACCCTACCCTGGTTAGCCCAACGCACTTGTTTCACTTTATGTCTATACTATATACAATACACATTTATTCTGGTATCTAATTATCGTCTTTGCATGTACTTCAGTTACAGCAAATTTCAACGAGAATCAAGAGGTTACTCAGGAGCTGTTTTACGGTATGATTCTTATTATATCTAGAATTCATAAAATGTATTAAGAAATTAATTCTGTAAGTTACTAGCGCTATCTACTTAGCTGTTATATTGATGTTGAATTGATTTGTTGTTGTTGAATGACAGATAAATTAGACCACGTCTTAAATAGTGGAGACATTTTATTAGACCTACTAGGTCGGTTTTTTTTTCATGTTGATAAGTGTGTACTATAAGGACGATACACTAATGGACCTGAATTATTTTCACACACAGGTACAGATGTCCAAGCTAAAGAAGAAGCCATAGACAGAATCCAAAACCAGAACATCGAGATGGATCCTCAGTAATTTTATTTTAATTTGTACCTCGGATAATGATTAGATCTGTAAGACAGTTTATAATTTACATCACTGGATTCCACTTTATGACACGTGACCATAAGGATGACGTGTCAGGTTTTCTAAGGGGCCATCAACATAAATTTAGCTAAAAATAATTTACAGTATCGCATTTAAACACATTTTAATGGTGATAGTATGTATTTTTCCATTGTATATTATCGCTGGTCGTTTTCAAACAAAAAGTTCCACAACAGAAATAAAATGTAATTAGTGCTTTAGACAGACATTTTTTTTTCCTAATAAATTCAAATAACCATTTTAATTTCTCTAACACTAACAGGCGTCAGATGGAGGAATTCGCTAACACAGAAGGGAAAAAAAAAATCTCATACATCTACACAGGTTAGACACGGATGTAGAAACTTGAACAAAAGACGACGGTTTGGTGACATTGATGAACTGGAAGTAGATGAACGGAGGATAAAATTGGAAAAAGAAAAAGTGGATTTGGAAATAAGTAAATTAAGAATGAGAGAGAAAGAAGAAAAAATAAAGCAAAAATCAGAGAAACATGATCTGGAAATACAACTAAAAAAACAAAAACACGAACAAAGAATGAGAGAAAGAGAAGAGAAACTGAGAATGGAGATAGAAAGACATGTGCTAGAGCAGAGACTTTTAGAACAGAAGCTTCACAAGGAAGAAAGTAAAGGGATGTTGACATCAAGCCACGAGATACTGGATGTAGTAGGACCCAGCTATACACAGCTGTAGGTCAAGGCATGTTTTTGTTGGGCAATATTAGACTGTCACATCTCAAAAACTGTCCATATATTATTACTGTGGACTGGGACGCTTATTTTAAATCTTTAAAGAGGTCGATCGAACTCTTTATAAATCCAGAAAAAAATTATTTTATCTCTAACAGTACAGTGTAAATATATTTAAAAGTCTATAGAATATTAAACAATTTTTAATTTGCCCAGCTTTTATTTCGTATTATAATGAATTCAAATGTTACATTGTAGGAATTTAAGTTTAAATGTTTTTATAATTTCTGCTATCTATTAAATTAGTTACTTATTTTATCTAAAGTCAAAGTAAGATTTTATCTTATAAATTTTCTTTGGAAAAGTATAATAATTTAGATATTAATAATGCAATGCTAAACATCGCTGAAAAATAATGTGTAAATGTTAACTGCAAAAATGCTTAAAATAATTACTTTTGTATGAGCATTATATGCATTGATGTAGGTTCTAGAAATATTTTTAATGGTGTTAATATTGTATTAATTGTTTAATTATCTTTGATTCATCATAGCATTTATTTCGATTTCAATATCTTTCAAAGAGCAAAATATGTTTTGGAAAACTATTTAGTTCATTTATTTAAATCATGCATTTAAACAGAAAATGTAAAAAATATATTATTATTTATATGTAATACAGAGTCCACTAATGTTAACAACTTAAATTGTATCGCTAAAGGTATTTTTTAAAAAAAATTATTATGTTTTGGTTTTAAAAAAAAATTGAATTTTTATTACTTCTTTTATTGTTATGACCATAGAGTAACAAATAAATATGTTACAATTTAATTACTTGCAATATAAATGAAATAAAAAAAAAACACTAGTTCTACTTCGCAATCTATTCTTTGAATGGCCTGTGAAAGAAGTCACGCAAGGGACATTATCCCGATGGCTTTGAGAGCCAAGTATCAATTTTTCAATTTTAAAAGTAATCTCATAATTTATTATTTTGAAAAAATAAAAAATAAATGTTGTTTTTTTATAATGGTAACAATAGTTTGCATGGAGGTATTTTCTCACATTGACCATTATTAAAATGCAAAAAAAAATATTTCTACAACGAACAATAAAAAAGTAATCTTAGGTAATGGTTGGCGTGGTGTAATGTGCAAAAAATAAATAAACCGGGAGTGATCTCCCCTAAACTTTCTCGAATATTTTTATATGAAACAACAGGAGACGACAACCCGGGATATAGACATGATTTTAAATCCATTTTAAATAATTAAACTTTTTAAAAATAGAATAAAATCTCGAAGAAAAAGATTATTGCACACCAAGTGAACGCCAAATAAAATGTGTATAATAGTGCGGAAACAATGAGCCGCATAAAAAATATTTTGAAAATAATACTAGAAGTAACCCTTCTACTAGTATACTGATTGTCGCCTACTAAAATGTTATGACAGGCCTACACTACAGTGTAAAATTCATAAATAGAAGTGAGCCCCTTGTGTTTAATGGCTTACTGTTTTATATCTCCTGAATAAAATTTACCAAAAGATCTATATTATATGCTGAAGTATGGACTATTACTAGTCTACGGATATAAAATCCGTGCATACTAGTATAATAGTGTAGGCAAGACAATTTTCTGCAATACATATAACATGGGGTGGGGGGGGGGGATGGGCGGCATGCCAGTTTAGGCGGCCCTCAGTTGAACATAATTTAATAATTTTTAAAATTTTGAATTGAATTTTCGTACATTTTTACCTTGATACTTGGTTTGTAAAAAAAAAACTGTCGCTGTAGTACGATTATTTTATTTTACAGTCACTATACCTCGCTCTTCCGCAAACATTAAATCCATTACACAAATTCTAGTGTAAAGTAGAGGCACAACTTCAAATTTAATGTCTTTGTGACTCGTTGCTCCAGTTTGATAGCCCAATAGAAGACACGTAACAGTCAACCGATGATCCAAAGTGTATTGTGAGCGATGGGGCAGGTGGTGGGGGACCGAATAGGGGGCTCAAAAATTGTCGTCAAATGTATTTATATATTTTAAAAAGTTATATATAAGAATTTTTTTTAACCATCGCATATGCTGAGTTCTATTTCCCCTGCAATCAAACAAAGGTAGTAAAGGTGGGTAAGTAGTACCCCCTAAGGAAAAACATTAATTGAAAAATAAACTTCAAGTTTATTTTTGTTTTGAAGCAATCTTTATTGTAAATCGGACCCCTAAAACATGGCTTCAATGCGTAATTATTAACTAGAAAGGCAGGATAATTAAGACACAAATTTACAAAACGGTACTTCCTACCATCATAGGGGTCTAAATAGTACCACTAGCGTGGCAACGAAGTACCAAAGGATATAAAGACGATTTGTTTAGCACTAATGTGCTAGTTTTTATACAGCAATTAAAATTTAATTGTATAACCTTGCTGGTCGCAAAATGTTCAGTTCTACGAGCAAACATACTGGTCGAGGTAACCCTTTGAACTCGCGATACCTCTTTTTTGGTCCGTGTCTTAAAACCCTGTGCCCCAGCAGACCAATAAATCGGTCGGAGACACATTACCCCATAAAGACTGTCCGTACATAAAACTAGGATAGCAAATAGAAGCATAATCGACTCGTGGTGCATTCCTGTTATGTCTGCGCCCACAAAAACATTTTTTGTTTTGTTTATCATTTGTAATATTAATATACAACAAAAAAAATATTTGAAAATTCCAACAATCGTCATTCTACCAAGATCTATGTCCACACCTAGCTATGTTTGAAAAAAAGGGTCTACCCACTGGAAGGGCTTGTACAGTGGCGTAGGCAGGGGGGGGGGGTATATATATAAAAAGTATGAGGGGGGGGGGGTGCAAATCGAAAGTTTGAGGGGGGGGGGGAGCAAATCGAAAGTTTGAGGGGGGTGCAAATCGAAAGTTTGAGGGAGGGGGGGTGTACATCGAAAGTTTGTCCCCGGGTAAAAATTGGAACTCCTCTTGAGACGATCCTGTCTACGCCACTGGGCTTGTATACCAAGAACTATCGGCGATGATTCGTGAGCACGTGCCAACTAAATAATATTAAAAAAATTTCTTTTAGTTTAGACTCTGTTGTGTCTACATTTAATCGAGGAGAATGGGGATTTAATTGAAGAGTTGAGAAATCTTTGATAACAATTATTTAAGTTTCATTTAGCTAATCGTTATTTTTCTCCGGCGAACTGAAAAGTATATTCTTCACTGTATTGGAACCTTTCTTCAATATGATCCTAAACAACTTCTCTGTATAACCGAGGTGCTTTATGATACCTCCATTTCATGCAAAAACATATTGATGATAGAGAAAATGTATGTGCATAAAGTTAATAAAGCTTTAATAAGTTAAATACGAATAAAGACAAATAAATAGCATTAACGATAATGGGTGGCTGTGACGGATAAGTAGTACTATTAGTACTTCTTACCCGCCATCGTATGGTACTCTTTAGCCGAGTTTGATTACAAGCGATTTCCGATTCACGTTTGTAATCCTCAAAATACAAAACTTATTTATTTGATGAAGTAGAGTGATTTTGTCTTCACCTTATAACGTTTAAAACACTGCACGCATATCATCTACGGCACTGCACAGTTAGAAAGACATTACAACAGACATTGACAGTAACCAAAAACTGACTTAACACTTTTCTTTTACGATCGATTCAGCTATTGAGTGGTCAGAACATATATTTTATCATCTAGAACAGGGGTCTCCAAACTACGGCCCGCGGGCCGGATGCGGCCCGCGAAGTCCTCTCATCCGGCCCGCGGAGATCTTTTTGTCTAAAGAAAAATCGTTTCTTGGTGATGGCTGAGGAACTTTGCCCAGAGAAATCAAAGACATGCCTGGAAGAAACTGGCCCCCAAACTGAAATTTGATAGTTATTGTGGCCCTCGGTCTGAAAAGTTTGGAGACCCCTGATCTAGAACAATTTAAGCAAGTTTCAGGTGAAGCAAATTGGTGGTGGTACGAGTTGTCGGCCGGTACGGGTTACCCAACTTTACCATATATATATATATATATATATATATATATATATATATATATATATATATATATATATATATATATATATAATATTTCAATTGCTGAAACACTTAAGTTACATCGTAATTATAAATATACGTTTTGCTTGTTTTCTTATTTGCATGTTAACGTATTATTATGTCCTTCTCCTTTTATAGGCTACATCTATCTATTTTATAAAAATATACAGATTTTCACACGATTTTCAGACTAACTGGTAAACGAAAGCTTTTCTAAAATTAATATTGGTTGCGTTAATTAAACTGAAAAGTGAGCTATTTCTTAAAATCACAGTGTTAAATTTAGATAGCCGAAGACCCCCCCCCCCCCCCACACATACACAACGTAGGTTATTCCCGTTAGGTTATTTAAACATTCAAACGCTAATAATAGTTCTTTAGGCATTCGGTAAGTAACTTCGGATTTTCCCTATTGCCATAGAAACTCAGCACGCGCCATTTTATTTCTAGTCTGCGACCGTCGTAGTTGAAAGCAAGCCAATATGGCCGACTTATAGTCCGTGTTGATTATTTTAGTTCGATTACCATAACTAGTTATTATTTGTGTAAAGACATTGATCTGAAGGTCTGTGTGGCTTAATATTATCGTGTTCATAGGTAGGAAAACATGTTTCTAACTTAACTAATGATCTCACAATACTTGTGAAGTATTATGCCAGTTCGCTGAACATTTATCCAACAGTTTTGACATACAACCCCGTAACCACTTAGGTGTAGCAGAACTGCCTTCAATCACGGTTTCTTTGTACTTACAATAGTTCGCTGCTATTATAGAAGAAAGATACGCATCTAGTTATTGTAATACTATTTAATGTAAGTGGCTATTTAGTCTTTAAGTATAATAAACATTATTAACAGTTATTTATCACATTACCCAACCCTTCAACCCCACCCTTTAAAAACACAAAAGAAAAAACAATCCG